AAATTGTTCTGGGGCGTGAATCTCATTCGCTCTGTCCTAGGGCAACGTGGGCCAGGACGGGGCCCCTGGGGTCCCTGGAGAAAAGGTGAGTGAGTGAGTGAGTGAGTTTCTGGGTAGGAGACAAATCCAGGAGGGAGGGGGATATCATAATGTAGTGGAAAGAGCACCGCTTCTGAGGTCAGGGTCATGAGTTCAAGTCCTACCTTGGCCACTGACCTGCTGTGTGACCTTGGGCAAGCCACTGAACCTCTCTGGGCCTCAGTTTCCTCCTCTGCAAGATGGAAATAACCACGGTCCCCACCCCAAGGGCTGCAGTGGTGAACAAAACGACTGCTGTATGCCAGGCTCTGTGCCTCGTATGCAGAAGGTGCTCGATATGTGCTAGTTCTTGTCATTATGTAGGGTTCAGGGGTGCCAGGCAGGAGTGATGAATAATGACTTCTGGTTCCATTTTAGGGCCTCCCAGGCCTACAGGGGCCCCCTGGATTTTCTGGGCCAAAGGGTCCCCCTGTAAGTGAGCTCACCCTGGCTGGGTGGGTAGGAGGGGGGCTGGGGAGTGGAGAGGCTCCTTATTTGTGCTTCCACTCTCTCCGACCTTGTCCATCAGGGCCCCCAGGGGAAAGAAGGACGAACTGGGCACCCTGGACAGAGAGGAGAATTGGTGAGTGACCACTTGACCTCTGACCCCATTAGGCTTTCCATTCTGCCCCCCTCCCCCGTGTGACACCTCCTTTTAATTTTTTCTCTCCAGGGCTTTCAAGGTCAAACAGGCCCACCTGGTCCAGCTGGCGTTGTGGGACCTCAGGTCAGAGTGGACCCCCCAAGTTCCCCTAGTTTTGTACCAGATGGGAGATATTTGGGGGGAAGTGGATTTCAGACAGACCCCTACCCCAGACCACCTCCGTTCAAGATGGGCCTCCTTTCTCTCCAGGGAAAGACAGGAGAAGCAGGACCTCTAGGCGAGAGGGGGCCGCCAGGTCCTCCAGGACCCCCTGGTGAACAAGGCCTCCCAGGACCGGAAGGCAGAGAGGGGGCCAAGGTGAGACCCTGCCCTGTGGGAGATCCTGGTGGAGTGGCCCTGAAGGTCCCTCAATGGCCCCATGCCACCTGAAGGCTCAGAATTAGCCCCACAGGGGGTAGACTCACAAATTGAGAGGAGACAGCCTTTCTCTGGAGCCTGACCCTTCTCCTCTGCACTCCTGCAGGGGGAGCTGGGGCCACTGGGGCCCCTTGGGAAGGAAGGACCACCTGGACCTAGGGGCTTCCCTGGCCCCCAAGGAGCCCTAGGGGACCCTGTGAGTATCCTTCGGGGCCCTCTTGTACCTGGCTGGGCTGTGAAGTAGAGAAGGAAATGAGGGGCTCAGGGCAGGGACATGGTGACAGCATCTTGGGTGGGGACAACCGTGAAAGTAAAGGAATGATAGCAGGAGGGACCTGGAGGAGACTGACCCCTGAACCTCAGTGTCCGGAAGGAGGTGGGAACTGTGAGCCCCCCAAAATTAAGACAGGACCTGGGGGTACCTGTGGGGGTCTTTTGACTGTGAATCATCTCCTCCTTCAGGGACCTACTGGGTTGAAGGGTGACAAGGGCCCCCCAGGCCCCATTGGTGCCAATGTAAGTGGAACCCCATCTGCTGGGTGGGAAGCAGGGTGGAGGGAAGTTGGGGTGTCTGGGAAGCTTGACATTAAAATATTAAGTCCACTATTTTTGCAGTCAGACAGTCCTGGGTCACATCCAGCTCTGTCACTGGCGGGTAGTCATGCTACTCTGTGAGCCTCAGTTTCCTCACCTGTAATATAGCCCATCTCATAGGTTATCGTATAACTCAATGAGATGTTCCCTCTGACACATGCTTACCTGCGTGCCAGACAAAAACATATAAAACCTCCTTTCTCCTGGAGGTTGTGTTCTAGTTGGGGAGACAGGAAATCAGCAGTGATGAATACCCCCAAAACAGCAGTGCAGAGAGAAGGGAAGAGCAGTTGAGGTAGGCTGGTCAAAGAAGGCCTCCTGAGAAGGTGGAATTTGAGTTGAGACCTGAGGAAGAAAGGAAGGAGCCCTGTGGATGTCTGGGGGAAAAGAATTCCAGGCAGAGGGACAGCATGTGCAAAGGCCCTGAAGCTGGACCATGTCTGGCTTATTGGAGGAAACAGCAAGGAGCCCCGTGTGGCTGGAGGGGAGTAAGTGAGGGTGAAAGTAGGAGGAGGTGAGGGTGGGAGGGGCCAGGGGCAGGTTGTGTGGGCTGCCAGGAGGACTTCTCTTTTTTTCTGAGGAGGGAGCCCTGAGGGCTGTGGTTACAGAGGGAAGCACTTACCCTGACTTAGGTGTTCACAGAGTCCTCTGCCTGCTGCGTGGGCAACAGTTTGGGTGCCTTCTGGTAATCACCTAAACTCTGCCTGGCAGCTTGAAAACCTCCAGAAATGAGAACTACTGCTATTGTTATTTTTCCTGACACCTCACCCCTGTTTTCAGGGCTCCCCTGGGGAGCGTGGGCCTGTGGGCCCAGCAGGAGGCATTGGGCTTCCTGGCCAAAGTGGAGGCCAAGGCCCTGTTGGCCCTGCAGGAGAGAAGGGGTCCCCGGTAAGTGCTCTGCCCACCCCAGGCCCTCCACTTAACAGGACCCCCCTCTAGCCCTAGCGCCTGACTTCCCTCCTACTCTCACACAGGGCGAACGTGGGCCCCCTGGACCCACTGGCCAAGACGGCATCCCAGGGCCCCTGGGGCTCCCCGGGCCCCCTGGAACTGTCGGGCCTTCTGGAGAGGAGGGGGACAAGGTGAGAGTTCATGGAGAGGGAGGGCTGGGGAAGGCTGGGGGCCAGGGGCTGGGGTCCTCTCTCATCCTGGTTCCTCTGCAGGGGGACATGGGCACCCCTGGTCACAAGGGGAGCAAAGGTGATAAGGGGGACGCGGTAAGTAAGGGGTCCCCACTTGGGGGTGGGTCCTCAGGGAGGGGAGAGGAATGTGGAGGATGGGTGGGTGGGGCAGAGGGGAGGCCATGGAGCTTCCTGCCTTCCTGAGCTTCATCTTGACACCTGCAAGTAAGAAGAGCCACTCAAACTACCTGAAATGAAGTGGCCAAGTCACTGGGGCCCCAGGAGGATGGGAAGGGCCCTGAGGCAGTTACTCTCTCCTCTGCTCTTCCTTGGTGGCATGTCATTCTCTCTGGGGTGACTCTGCGGCTCTGAGGCATTGCGTCCCCAGCTTCCCTTTGGGACTTCAGCCACAGCTGCCAGCATCAGTCCCTGGGTGCTGGGGGACTTCTGGGGAAAAGCCTGATGGGCCCAGCTTAGGACAGATGTCTGTGTCTGATCCCTTCAGTTGGTGGCTAGGTGGACAGGGTTGAGGTGTGTGTGCAGTTGTGGCTTCCCGGTGGGGAGAGTGGGCAGGGGACAATGATTGACATTTCTAGTTCCACATCCCAATCTTGAACTTTAGAGGTTTTCAACTGTTTTCTCCTCCAGGGCCCACCTGGACCAACAGGGATACAGGGTCCTGTGGGACACCCAGGTTCCCCGGTAGGTGCTTCCAACTTTGTGACCATCTCCTGAATTCCTGATGGGACAGTGTCCTACACCTGGACTCAGGCTCAGGCTCAATTCCAACCATAATCTACTCCTCCATGCTGACACCCAGTATGAACTCACCCCAGAATCTGACTCAATCTGAAACAGCCCCAACCCTGGACCCCATCTCAGCCCCAATCTCAACCCGCCTGTGACCTTAACCTCAACCCCAACTCAAACCTTATCTTCAAATGCCTCATTAGCTAAATCCTGACCCAGTCTTACCCTAACCCCAATCCTGGTGTACCCTTCAGTGCTGACCTCAACCTGAGTCCAAACTCTGAACCTGGCCTTGGCCCCAACCTCAAACCCAGCCCTAAATTCTATCTCAACCCCATCTCAACCCTGCTCATGACCTTGACCTCAATATGAACCCGACTCATCACCCAATGTTCATCTCAAAACTTTGACTCAACCCTTGACTTTATTCCCAAACTCTAACCCTTAACCCACACCCCTAACTCCAAAGCTAACCCTGACCCTCCCCACAGTAAATCCCAACCCTGACTCCAACCATCAACCTCGATCCTGTCTTTGACCCTGAGCCTATTTCCAGCCGTTGACCTGGACCCTAACTTTGCCCTGCCCTCTTCTTCTCCCAGGGAGCAGACGGGGCTCAGGGACGCAGGGGACCCCCGGGCCTCTTTGGGCAGAAAGGAGATGATGGAGTGAGAGGCTTCGTGGGGGTGATTGGCCCCCCAGGCCTGCAGGTGGGTGTCTGAGTTTGGGGGGCACAGACTCTGGTTCTCACCACCCTATGCCCCAATCTTGCTTCTTTTTTCCACAGGGACTGCCAGGCCCTCCTGGAGAAAAAGGGGAGGTCGGAGACGTGGGATCCATGGTATGGACAATGGGGGAGAAGGTAGAAGGGGGAGGATAGTGGCAGGGTGAGGGTGGCCGTTAGATTGATGTTGGGGAGACATCACAGGCCACATTGTCATTTTAAGGATCATTCGAGTCACAAGCATCAAGGGTGGTGTTTGTGGCTACGGGAGCATTTTTGGGGGCCTTGGGAGTCACATGATGCTATTCTGATTGTCCCACAGGGTCCCCATGGAGCTCCAGGTCCTCGGGGTCCCCATGGCCCTAGTGGATCAGAGGTGAGGACCCTGGGGCTAGAGGAAGGGCTTCAGAGGTGGGGACATCTTTTTCCCAAGAAGGGGAGATTGGAATCCCACAGTCCCACCTCTACCCCTTGCTGTCTCTTCAGGGCCCTCCAGGGCTGCCTGGAGGAGTTGGTCAGCCGGGCGCTGTGGGCGAGAAGGTAAGAAAGGACAGTGGACTCCACGGGGTGGGGGAGGCACAACCAGTCCTGATTGGCAGTGGCTGTTTGGGGACCCTCTCCCTGTCTACCAGGATCGAACCTTCCCTATCCTCACTTTGCCTCCTGTAGGGTGAACCAGGGGAGGCTGGAGACCTAGGACTCCCAGGAGCCCCTGGCATCCCTGTGAGTGGCTATGTCCTGTGCCCCTGCACCCATCCCAGGGAACCCCTGGCCCCTGGGCATCTCAGGCCAACTGACCTCTGGGCAGTCCTAAGTCACCCACTGACCCAGCACTTATGGGCATCCTGAGTTATCTTGATGACACCTTGGAAGGTGTCAGTGCTACATACAGGTTGTACACTGCACAAGGGTGTGGGACCAAGGGGGTAGATGGGGCTCAGATCTAATATGACCCTGGCTTGGGGATGAGCTTCTCACAGGGGGCTCCTATTTGAATTCACTCTAGAGTGGTACATGGACTAGGCCAACCTTGCCATTGACCTCTAGGCAACTGGACAATCCTGATCCCTGACTCCTATGAGTCCTAGATCCCCTTGACTTCTTACCCTTGGGAGTCTAGGCTACTCTGATCCCTGACCCCAAGAAAATCCCAGACCACCCGGATTCCTAAATCCAAGTGTGCTAACCTTGACCTCTGGGGAGTCCAGGCTCTTCTGACTTCTGACTTCTGTTTCTGTAAAGGGACCCAAGGGAGAAGTTGGTGAAAAGGGGGACTCAGGCCCATCTGGGGCTGCAGGACCCCCAGGAAAGAAGGGCCCCCCTGGAGAGGATGGAGCTAAAGGGAACGTGGTGAGTCTTGGGGGAGGTGGAGGCAGAGATGGGGGAAGGGCACTCGTGTCTACTCAAACCTACTTCCCAACTGCCAGCCAGGTGTCCGTTCCTCTATTGTGTTGATCCTATGAACAACCCAGAACATGGCTGAATGAATGAATGAATGATTGAATGAATGAATGATAGAATGAATGAATGATTGAATGAATGAATGAGTCAACATGAAAATACAGTGATTATATGTCATTGGGAGGGGACTTGCTTCCACATGGAATCATTCTAACAATGCTGGGAACGACAAGGTGAAGATTGGCGCTGCGGTGGGATTTCCATTGGGCAGAGGCTGAGACCCTCCTGCCCCGCGGTGGGGCGCGGTGGGGTGGCAGGGCAGTGGGGAGCTTCAGTGTCTGTGGGGCCGTGATGTGGGCCTCTCCGCCCCCACCTGCTGTGTCCCTCTGGGTTAGTTCTCCCCGTGAGTCCCGAGCTGGGGGCTGCTGGGCCAAGCGAGCGATGCACCTGAGGCTCCTAGCGCGGCACCTGCCCGCATGAAACACTAGTGCGCTCTCTGCCGGGTGGACATGTGTTCTGTTCGCATGTGTCACCAGCAGCCAGAACTGTGCCTGCGCCCCATGCATCTGTGACGTGAGTGAGTGAGTGTGCAATAATTCTGAGATGTGATTACTTATTCTGTGTTCCAGGGACCCACGGGGCTCCCAGGAGATCCAGGACCCCCTGGAGACCCTGGAGTTTTGGTGGGTGTGAGCCCTCCTGCCCCCGCCAAACCCATCAGATTCCCTGATTCTCACCCCCACTCATACTCACAGGTCCCCCCTCACCCCCCAGAGACCTGGTGTCCTCATGTCCCTACCCCATAGGCCTAAGCAAGGTCGCTTGAACAAATAACCTTCATTATCCTCCAAGTCTCACCCCCAAATTCTCATGTGCCCCCATGATCCCTCCCAACTCTGTCCCCTCTCCCCCACCGCAGGGTCTAGATGGTCCCCCGGGGGAGAGAGGAGACCCTGGTGATGTTGGAGGACCGGTGAGTGAGGAGACAGGATGTGATGCTGGGAGTGGGGGCCGGGCTGGTGAGTAGGTGCATTGGGGGCCAGAGGAGCGGGTTAAAGAGGCACCCAGGGCCCATGTAGGTGCACCTGCTTTGTCTCTTGGGGCCTCACCGTGAATGTGAAAAGCTTGAGGGAGGAGGCAGGAGGCGGGTGTGCTGGATGAGTTTGTGTAAAGCTGTCTTTGAGTCAAAGGCATCTTGAAACGTTGCCATGCTCAGCCAACATTAGCTCATGCTGTTCTGGTGCTCTTATCATCTCCACAGGGTCCTCCTGGTGCTTCTGGGGAACCCGGCCCCCGGGGGCCCCCTGGCAAGAGGGTGAGTGATCACCTGCCTCCTAGCTGCCCTTGCTCCAACCTTGTCCCACTTACCCCCACAGGCCCCCACAGGCTTCCACTCACCCCCACAGGACCTCGATCATCCCCACATGTCCCTCGTCGCTCCATAGGCCTCCCACCCCCACAAGTCCCCACTTACCCCCACAGGCCCCCACTCACTTC